TACATGCTATTTTGTGATCATGACCTGTTGCTCTTCTTTAAAATCCAGAGTCGTTGCGAGTTAGGACAACACATCAGCGTGATGGTTTTCTTCCCGCCGAATATGTTCTAGACTCCACTCGTCAAATTATTCAAGAGAGGCTCGGGCGTCTTGCACCGACTTGAAGAGCGACTCATCTTTTTCCTTGATGTTTTCCATGACTTGGGTGACTACTAATATTAATTCGGAGAATACTTGAATCCTTTTGACTGCCATTTTGGCGATGATTTCCAAACCAATTACGAGAGCTTCATATTTTGCTACATTTTAGGTTTTGAGATAGTGAAACCGCCTTGATATTTCATGTTTTGCTCGATCTCGCGTCTTGATAACAATCATGTTGCCCGCTCCTCCATTGCCCGCTGCTCCACCATGAACAGGCTCCATGGTTAGTTGCTCGACTAAGTTATTTCTTGTACAATGAAACCTTCCACCGTGAAGTATGCTAGGACATGCTGCATAGGGTGCATACTCGATATCATACTCCCTTAGGGCCACATCCCACTTGGTCATAGTCTTCTTTAGTGGTAATTAGTTGGACAACACCGTGATGGGGTGCTCCTGAAAGTACAGTGAATCACTTTTACTACAACTCCAATAAGTGGCCAAGAGAAACCACAAATTGGGAAATAGTATAGTGGTGTAAAGTCTTAATTTATCAACCCGGGGCAATTGATTCACTACAACCAATTGAAGGTGCTCTATTAACCTACTTGAATATTCTCCCTCATAGATTAAAGTGACAATTGAAAAATTTGATCAAGATTCAACAATTACGTGGATAAACTTCAATTGGATAAATAATATCAAGTTTTACAAACTAAATAACAAACACAATCGGCCATAACACTGATCTAGGATTCTACATACCCAAGTGATGGAATGGACTACTCCATGGAATTAGGAAAGAAAGTCATTAGCGAAGTAGATCTGCTCATGTGGATGATAGGGATCTACTCCCTTGTTGTTGATCTTTACTCCGAAGAACCAAGTTCGAGCTCCAAGTGTGTTTCTCTGTCACTTCCTCTCTCTCTAAAAACTCTATTTTCTCTCTCCACACAAATTTTTGTGGTCCATATTTGAGCTTTGCATACCTTAAACCGAAAACTCCCCTGATGACCAAATAATTGTTGATATATCCAGATATAATCCCAATGATCCTAAGATTTTCCAAACTTAAAATCAAATTTTTTGTCGAAAGCCTAGAAATCAACTAAATTATTTGTATGATAAGATAGATCAAGCACGTGCCACCATGTAATTGTAGAATTATGGGGTCGGTTAGCTTGACAACCCCTCTTGAGGGGTCTCATTTTCGACACCCATTCTCTTTACCGTATATTCTCATCACTGCTAATCTAATGGTAAGGAGTTAATCGTTGTTAATGGTTCATTAATTATGTAATAAATTATCCCAACATATATTGGAAAGGGAAAGAAAATCGGAACTCTAAGAAAAAGCGGTTCCCACGCATAATTTCAAATTAATTACCCATTCCCCTTTTTATCCCATAGTTTCTTCTCCTGCTCTCTCCCTTTCAATAAACCAGAAACCCTCCCTCCTGTCTACCAGAATTGTCCCCGCGCCATAACCCATACTTTCCGTAGCATCTAGGCCATCACGCCGTAACCCTTCCCTGCCACAACATCTCTCATCCTGTCGCCCTTAAAACAGCGTTCTGCCCATCCCTCCTGTCGGCCATCCTCCGTCTTCCATCCCAAACCCTCACATTCCATTGGCTTGCTCTTATCCACGGCTGCGCTTGATTGTTTCTCGTTGGTCACCGTCCTTCCGCGACAGAGCTTTGATCGACCCTAAGTGGCGTCGACGGGATTTGTCAAAGGTGAGGGGTTTCTGCTTGAACCACCACAATCTCCTTCATTATAGTATATCACCGGAGTGGCATAGTATGGCAAATAATTGTCCAATTTTAGCGATAGTTGTGTATCTAATTTATCGAAGGTGTGTCTATCACTGCATTGATATAAAATTTTGATATTGATACTAAAAGTATCACTATAATGGTAGTTTTGTTTGACATGTCTATCTTGGTAGATCTATCAGTGCAATGGTATAAAATATTTCATTGTGGCTAATATCACTATAGTGGTAGTTTTGTTTTACAATGGCTTTCTGGGTAAATCTATAACTGGATTGATATATTTACAGTAATATTTTTCTTGTCGATATCATATATCTATCATTGAGTTGATAGTTCTTATTTATGACTTATTTTCTAATGTTAGCAGGAATGACAAGGACGAAGAGAACGTGTCTTACGGGAAAGAAGCCTGCAACCTATGTTTTTAGGGAGGCGGAAGTTGGGGTTAGTCAGGCTCCTTCCTCCAGTGCGGACACCAACAAGAAACGACACTGTGAGAGACGAGAAAAGGGAGAACAAGACAGGAGAAAGAGAAAATGTACTGATGATTGAATATTTATGTTGGTGCTTGTCCTAGAAGTATATTTCATGATCCAATTAGTATGAGTACTTGTACAGTGCTACGTGTACCGGACATGTGGTACAAGTACTGGTAGATGGGAACGTGTACCAGTATAGTGGTTTAAGTACTAGTATAGTGGTCCGTGTACCATTACAGTGGTACATGTACTAGTATATATTATGGGTTCGTGCACCACTACAGTAGTATTAGTACCGCTAAAATTGTGCGAAAAACCATTTCTATGCCAGTACTCGTGAACAAAGATATTTCCATGAAATTGAAAGAAGTTAACCAATAATTATGACCAAAAAGATAATAAACCAATTCCCAAACACAATGTGTAGAACACAAAATTTCCATGACGATGTGTCTTAGCCTCCTAATGTGCACACTACAATACGAAAAAAAGTTGCACTCCTAATGTGTCTTAGCCTTTTTTTTATGCCTCATTTTAGCTTGCAAGTGTTTTCTTGCTTTCTCTCCAGCTTATTCCGAAGCAGGTTTCAATCGCTTCTTAGTCTGCACTCTGTCCTTCTTATTCATTGTTATCCCTCTCGGCTCTAGTTCATCGATGCTTGGCGAAGCTTCTTCAGTGATATCAGCGATGGTGGACCAAGGTTATTTTCCTACACAAAAAATGACATTTAGTATATTAAAAAAATGTTTAGTTAAACAGGTAAAAACTATCAGTGTACTGGTACAAAAATAGTGTGCATGGATAAGTGGTCGTGGAGTGAAATAGCAGAGGAGGGAGGGAGAAATAAAAACTAGGAATATGGGAGCCGAAAAGGCACTTTCCCAATCCAACTAAATTGCCCCTTCCTCATTCATAATTATTATAACAGTTAAAAGCTTTTTCAATCTACAAGATAAAAAACTACTTCAATTAATACTTGCCAAATGATTGAGTGGAAAATGGACCAATCATGAAGAGGGTGTCAAAAATCAGGCCCCTTTTGAGGTAGATATAGTATCCGAATTCTAAAATGATGTATCCTCCCGTTTGCAATTTGTAAGATTAATCTTGATTTTGCATTTAAACATATCAAGGGGATTACAGGAAAGAACTATTAGATTAAACAATTTGTTCTTTCTAGGAGTTGAGATTCATTGGAGGAGAAAATAAGAGTTGAGATCTGCCATCAAAGATAAATATTAATAATTTTAATCACTCCAAAAATTATATTGTTGACCTTGCAAACATTATTGCTTTGCCATCTTGTTTTTCATAAGTTAGAGTTGAAGAGAATCTTTCAGCCAAGAAGAAAATGTGTTCTTTACCTAAGAAAGAATAAACACATATATTAGAGAAATTGCCAATACTACTACACGTAATAAGTAATTTATTAAGTTTTTAATCTATAGGTTATCAAATTTTTTGTTGGCCATTGGGTAGCAGTGTTATTAAAACCGAGCCGCTCGGCCCGACCGGTAAAACCGCCACCCGGTCACAAAATCGGCTCGGAACAGTCTAAAAGCCGCTCCGGTTTTATGTAGCGGTTGGCGAGCGGCCGAGGCGGTTAACCGTTCGAGCCGATCGAGCCGCTCGTCCGGTTTTTGCCATTCAGCCACTAAATTTAATTAAAAAAATTGTAGAAAATTGAAAATTGAAATAAACCAAAAACGTCGGGCTCTCAAATTGAATCCTTATTTTCATTTCATAATTTCGAAGGAAAGATATGAGCCCTGATTAAGAAATGTCCACTATTTATACTGATAAGTGATAACGTTTATTAGATACCGGTTCTCTAACGGTTTTTAAACGGTATAATACTGGTTGAACCGCTAAAGTGCGAGCCGTTCGCATTAACGGGTCATGCTCCGGTTCGGTTTTGACAACATTGCTTATTAGTGTTAGGGTTAAAGACCAAATCCAAAAAATAATCATTGCTTGAAAGATGTAAATTCTGCTGCATGAAAATTATGCTTCATTTTTCAAATATTTTATCATTAACAGATTAATTTCTAACAAAAATGTAGAAACAAAAGGAAGAACCTATTGTGAGTTTCATTAAAGAAAACAAATTTTTTGTTATTATGGATATGAGTGTGCTTTTGATGGCGGAGCAATCATAAAGAAATAAAAAATTAAAATTGCAATAATGTTTGATAACAAGGTGCAAATTATGTGGTCTGATTAAGTTTTTTAGGAGTCTATTATCTTGCATAATTTTTTTTGTTTTGTTAAGGAAGTATTTTCAATTAATATGTTAGAATGTCAGAAAAATCTATGAGTACAGAATTTTTTATATATTTTCATAGATAAAATAATTTATAGTATCCAATAAAATATGTCTTACTTCGAATATCACTATTTTTATTTATAGTGCTAATATAATTTATTCTACCAACGGTCCAAATCTAGTATACGAGCAAGGTTGTCAAATCGGTTTAAGTCATTGAGCCGGTCAAGTAAGGGATTTGAGGTTTAATGGTCGGATCGAGTTCCGGCCGGTTTGACCCGTTTAGACCTTTTTTAAATATATATACAAATAAGGTAGTAATTAAAAATGTAATGACTAGAATGAAATTTATCTTACATGTATCTATTAAAAACTTATTTTCCAAAAAAGTAAATCCACCTAACCTCTATAATCCACTCACTATCTCCTTTTTTTTCTTTCCTCATCCTTTTAGGATGGCAGATAGGAAGGCTTTCTGAAAATCTTTTTGAAGCCCGAATTAGATTGGACTAGGTCCACATGGGGATCCGATAGGAGTTTAACACCTTGACACCCTCGGAGGCCCTCGTCTCAACAAGTGTCCCTCTTGCACGTGAGTGGTAGTGTGGGCTCTGTTAAAAGGGTAAGACACTGCATCGAGCCATCGACCCACTCCCTCTGCTCTGCTACCCTCCAAATTAATTCATGTCCTGTCATTTTGTAACCTAAAGGACAATCATATTAATTTCCACTTACAAACAAAATAACGAGAGAAAATGTAGATAACAAAAATATTGCAGGTTTGGGACCCACCAAATTGCGTACAAAGAAAATTGAGGAAAGGAGAGGATGGGCTCCAGCATCGACAGCTGATTGGTTGGTTGGGGATGAGTCACGAAGCAAGCTCGTAGATAAGGCCGCCACCTGTTTCTCCCTACTTGTCGCAATAATCTCGCCCGAGTCTCCCCTCGGCTCGTTCTTCTCCCCGGATTTTATCCCGATAAATTGACGACAAGAAACAGCTCCGGTCATTCGAGATCGAGAATCGACACGCATCCACAGTAAAGTAAGGCCAAAAGACGCCAAAACGGCATCGATAGCTGCGCCCTGCAGGCTGCAGCGGCTTCTCAAGCTCCTCCTGATGAACCGCCTTTCAAACAAGCAGCTGCCAGCTCCCGGTTTTACCCGAACCCGCTGTCCCCTTCTATAAATACTCACTTGGCCTCTCCCCACTTCTTCAGCGCTCCAACTCACTAGCAAAAGAGAGAAATCCATTAGTACCAAATCAGAAAAGAAATTTCGAAATTCATCTCCCAAAGCCAAAATGAATCACCTGAACAGAGTTTGGATGGCCGCCACCGTAGCCACCGTACAGGGCTCCCACGCCGACCAGGGAACCAAATGGAAATCAGGCCTACAGGCACTCCACCACGGAAAGAGGCGATTTTTCTCCGGATCCGCCGATGCAGCCGATCTCCGCCCGCTTTCCAGCGCGGTCGTATCCGATCGGGCCGGAGTCGCAGGAAGCCGCGACTCGGATGAGTGTTTGAGGCAGAGCGACGAGTCAATGAGACGAGTCATGTACCTCAACTGCTGGGGCCAGGGGTGAAAAAGTCCATCGCTGCAAGGCCGGGTGTTCCTGGCCGGACGTGGATCAAGAAAAACTATATGTCGCCGGCTCTTCAGGAGAAGATAACTAACTAATTTGAGTTGCGAGCTCAAAGTGATCCGACGCCGGCTCGAGGGAGGCATTGACAGCCGACTCGCCAAGGGGTTACTGATGTGAAACAGTGTATGTTGTACAGGCTGATAGATCGAGTTGGTTCTCAAGTGTGTATATATACTTGAATCTATCTTTAATAACAAAGTTTTGGAGGGTTTCTTCCCTTCTTGCATATTGGAATTTGTTTTCTTCGCATAATTATTATGCTTTTGACCCCATGATTCAAGATTCGCGAGCTCAAAAAGCTCACAATCCTCCGACCCGATGATTAGAAAGAAGATACCCAGAGAACTGTGAAGCTCACAAGTCAGAACCCGAAGAACTATTGGCCTTCACTGATTGCAAATTGGAGTAAGAACAGCAATGAACACAAAACTATCAATGTCTGATTTCAATTGGAGCAAGAACATCAATGAACACAAAACTACCAACATCTGATTTCAATGACGGCGACGGAGCTGGAATAATTCCTCTCACTTGGGTTTTGGTCATGTCCTATCCCTTACCTTATGCATCGGCGTTGGTTTTTCTGGTCAGTTTGTTCTGCAATAGTGTTGCTCTCAGTTGAGCACGGAGTACTATTTGTTGACCAGACCAGGGGCGAAGATGATTGATTGGTAGATGGTAGGGGTGGGTTCGGTTACCGGTTAGCCGGTTGGTTAAACTGATAACTGGCCGATTACCCACTAACCGGTACCTGATATAGTCAAAATTCGGTCGGTTGTTGGAGGTTGGATGAGATTGTTTTGGTCTTGGAGGTACCGTTAACTGATAGCTGAGATAACCGAAGTTTATTTCGGTAGGTTGTCGGTTGGGAGCCAGCCTTTTGGTTGATCAATAACCGACCAATCGGTTATCGGTTATAACCGAAAGTAGTCGATCGCCATCCCTAGTAGATGTGCAAGGCAGGAAACTAAGGATTAGTGACAAAATGATAATGAGAAATAAAAGTACAAATATCCGAATTACAAAAATCCGAATAAAGACTATTCTTTTGTTAGTGAGGGCGACTTAGGGTAGGCAATAGGCAGGTTGGGCAGCGGATGAGCATGGTTGGGTTGTAGGTTAATCCGTAAAACTAATTCACCAACTATCCATTAAGCAAGTCAATATAAATATTAGTTCATTGCAAATTAGTAAGACTAACACAATTTAAACACTTCCTACTTTGCCTCCCGTGGATCTGTAGTATTTTCATAAAATTTTTCATTACTCTATCAATCAATTGTGTATAAAAATCTAGCGTATTTTGTGACTTTGATACAGTTAATAGTTTATAATTTAAAAGAAAACTCTCGAATGGGTTCCATTTTTCTTGGAGCGCTAGGGGGCTCCTCCCTCAGCTAGCCGACCGTTCGTTGTATGTCCGCCTCGGAACCGGGGGCTCCTCTCCCGGCCAGCCGTCCCTCCGACCAGACTTTTGGGGTCTCGGAGACCCCCATCGGCAAACTCATCCTCCAAAAACCGAGCAAAAATAGGAGATGCAACAGCTCTGTAAGAGGGCGAAGGCGTCGTGCGTCAGGCCGCTGTTTGGTAAGGAAGCGATGATGGACAAAGATACTTCTAATGAACTGATGCCAGCGGAGAATATGAAACCACCACTGCCAAACGCCTGGACGAATAAGAAAACATTCAGCGAGATGCTGTCACAAGACGCCTAGTACATGGCAGATTATGACTTAGAGGGTGTTGCGGAAGCAATGCGAGATGCTGAGCGGGATGGTGAGATACCTGAGGATGATAGTTTGACCTATCCAACGATCTGTTTCACGGCATTGGAGAAGCTTGAAGACTCTCCGAGCTACTGTTTATGATTGCTTAGTTGTCCAGGATTATACAAGAGAAGTATATATATGTGTCGAGATCACCTGCTAACCCTACTCAGCCTTAACCCTACAATAATGGCCCAATCAGACCCGGCCCAGACCCTGTGCTGGCCTGACCCACAGCACAGGGCCTCAACAACATTTAGGGCCTCAACCTGGCCCATACACTAATACACATATTAAAAAAAAAATTGAAATTGATACGCGTCGGCCCAACAACCAGCCATGCTTTATAACTCAATACACATTTTCTTGTACGTGGATGATGGATTCCAGGCCCACTTATAGTCAAACAAGAGTAAACCAATCAAATCCTATCGAGGCCCAGAAAATAAAGAATTTTCATTGCTGAGCTTATTCTTTGTTAATGTATATTATGGATTAATCTAATCAAACATTCTTGCTTCCTTCTTTCATGGAATTATTCACATCAATACATCATTGTATTATGTTCCAACACATTTCATTTTAAATTATCGTGTATGTGTGTAAATCAACAATATCATCGTACATCTACCAAACCAAATGCATCAATGATCTTCGACGGGAGCATCAGAGCTCGAACGTCGGGATGGGAGAATCAAGGCCATGAACAACTTATAAGCCATGCGAGCCAACACGTTCCTGTAAGGATCGCTTTCTCTCTTCTTTTTCAAGCAATCTTTGCTTACCTTGTATCTTTTTAGTATCATTTCATAAATTTTTAATAAATTTGAGAGAAAAAAATTTGAGGCCAAATTTTCAATGTTCGAACAGGGCCTCCAAACATTATGGGACGGCCCTGGGCCCAATAAATGAACAGAATGATGCATGTGCATCGGAGCAAAGAAGTTTTACATTCTTGATGAATTGGGTGCGAATCATTGTTAAAAATTCAGTATCCACATCAAATAACGAGTAACATGGTCAATAAATAGAGCAAAATAGTTATAGCCATTTCGAGATGTATCAAGAGCAGGGACCCACAAATCCGTATGAACAAGATGAAATGGCACAGTTATGACAGTTCTACTCGAGGGAAAATATATACTTTTGGGGACAGGATACAATAACAACACTCTATTTGTTGTTAAGTAACAACATAATTCATTAAGGGCAAAACTGGAAACTTACAATAAAAAAAAAATAACAATTAATAAGATCCCCAAATCCAATTCCCCTCCGCTCTCTTCTCCGTCGAGCGTTCTCCTCCGATTCCCAAACGGCGAGGGCGAAGAAGAAGAGTCTTCTAAAAACGAGAGCTCCGGCGCGAGGAGGTACTGGTCGAAGTAGTCGTCGGAGCAGGAGTAGAGGTTGCCGCCGCCGCTGTTTTCGCCCTTGCACTCCTGCAGGAATTGGAGTCCAGCTGTCGCCTCGTCTTCTCCCACCGGCTCAGCGAGAAGCAGAGACATCGTCTCCTCCGGCTCGATTGAAATCGGCGTCGGAGGAATGGGCTTGTTGTTTTCCGGCTCGTAGGACTCCGAAGCGGATTGGCTTCTGAATCGGAGAACAGAGGTGGGCGATGCGAGGTTGTTGTTGTGTGACTCATCACCGGAGTCGTAACCGGAGGATTGATGTTTATCCTCCTCTGTTTCTTCCCCCTTCACAGCCGGATTGACGAAATTCGTCAGCGCGTCGGGTCCCCGGAGCTTAATCGCGGCGTTGTCATAAACCATCGCCTCCTCCTCCGTCGTATCGTAAGTCCCCAGCTAGAGCCGAACCCTCTTCGCCGGATCCCGAATCTCCGCATCCCATTTACCCCACGGCCGCCTCCTCACGCCTCTGAACTTCCTCTCATCACCCTGAACCGCCACCACCGCGAAGAATCTATGGATTTGCATGAGATCGGTACGTGTAGTTAATTGGTGGCGTTGTTGAACTGAGGGTGTGATGAAACATTGTCAGAGATGAATTCGTCCAGTTCTTAGGGATTGATATTTTCAGTGCACCGATCTAATCTAAGAACAATATATAGAAGAGAACCTTGTTTTGTTTGTTCCATTGCACTCCAATAAACGACGAATGCAATTAGGTTGAAACCAAAGTACATTCTCAGGCGATATTCCATTCCAATCACCAAATTATTTCACAAACCATTAAAATCTACTTAACATAGTTTAAATGAGAAGTCTATTTGACACGCCAATAAACGACGAATGCAATTAGGTTAAATCCAAAAGAAAGACTAAATCAAACTATGTTAAGTCCACAAAAACCTAGGTTGAATTGACAAAGCTTGGCCTCCCTCACTTTGATCAAGCATGCATAAACTTCTCATTTGGGGTAAGAAAACTTATATTGGCTTTACATATGAATCCAAAAGTCACATTTTATATCATTGATTATGATGTTTATGGATAAGCATTGAAGTTTATCCATGCAAAGTTAATCTGTGAAGCGAGTGGTTTTGTTTATCCATGGGGATTGGACCGAAGGTGTTTGGTCGTACTGGTCTTTTTTTCACAGTAAGCAGCGCTGGGTTTGAATGCTTCTCGCCGATTTCGGTACACTTTGGACTTGAAAGAAAGAAGAGGAGAAAGAGCAAAGAAGGAGGACGATTAGAGCTCATGCACAACAAAGTGAAGCCATAAATATTTTTAAATCACACCAAAAACCTTATTATACAAACCATAACTCTCCTAAAACAAATGAAAAACACCACAAAGCACACCAGAAACTTCATAAAACAAACTACAAACACGGTAAAACAAACCATAACAAAACATACCAGAAACCTCTCAATGCATGCCACAAATTCCATAAAACAAACCAGAAACACCACAAACCAAACCACAAATATTTTGAAAGCACACCAGAAAACTCATAACGCAAACCATAAACACCGTAAAGCAAACCACAAAAACAAACCAGAATGCTCCTAATGCATACCAAAAATATATTAAAACAAACCAGAAACCTCACAAAGCAAACCACAGAATTTTAAAAAACACACCAGAAACCTCATAATTCAAACCACAAACACGTTAAAGCAAACCACAAAAATAAACCAGAAACCTCCTAATGCATACCACAAATCTCTTAAAACAAACCACAAACCCCTCAATGCAAAACACAAATTTTTTGAAAGCAAACCAGAAACTTCTCAATGCAAACCACAAACACGATAAAGCAAACCAGAAACTTCGTAATGCAAACCACAAACACGATAAAGCAAACTACAAAAGGCATACAAAAATATGAGAAACCAAACCATAAATCTCACAATGTAGACCATACATCCGGTGGTCGTTGACCGAAGACCGTTGACCGGTCAACGAATTTCGTTGACCCAACTCCGGTGACCGTCAGTCAATAGATTCCGACACCGATAGGCATATCCCGGCCCCGATGACTAGATTCCAACGCCGGTAAGCATATTCCGACCGCGGTGAGCATATTTCGGCGACGGTGGCATATTCCGATGACAAAATAGTATATTCCGGCGACAAAAAGCATATTCCGGTGACCGGCGACCGGTGGCAGAATTCCGGCAACCAAAATTTTGGCCCGGAAATAAAAAAAAATTTATTTTTATTATTTTTATTATTATTTAAACATATTTTTCATAATGACAATTATACCCCTGCTTTGATTTTACACTAGGTCAACTCATCTAATAAAAAGTCATCACAACCCTAGCTTCCTATTGGTTGGAGACTAGTGTTGTTACAATAACAACACAAGGGGTGTTGTCACAGTAACCGGTCCCATACTTTTGGCCTTGGCTTCAACACAACTAGAGCATGGCAAGAGAGACGAACAATGAACTGTTTTATTACCAAGTATTGTTGCTTAAACATCAATTGCAAACGACCTGAGTTGGGGTGACCTAAACGGTTATGCCAAAGCTGCCATTGAATATTCGATAAGCTAGAAAACACGACAGTAGCCCATGAAGGGGGAACAAGACTCGACGCACTAGACACTTGGGGCGAAGGGAAAATAAGACTCGACTCACTAGACACCTGGGGGGACGACGTGGACGCTCGACTTGAAAGCTACTCCAATGTGAATGTACATACCATCTTACTCCCTCTTTCAATCGGCCTCTCCGTCGTTAGATCCACAGAAAACACCCTGAAGGTGCAAATAAGATAAAACAATTATCATTAGTCAGCTGGCCCACAAAGACAAGATTAGGATGAAGTTTGGGAACATGAAGCGCATTAGTCAATTTAACTTTTGACTGACTAATAGATCCCAGTCCAGTCATGGGAATATGGGCACCATTAGCCACCTAGAGCTGCAGATTTTTGACGGGGGTAACTTTACGAAGTGAAGAAGAGTCACTCATCATATGGTTAAAACAGGCAGAGTCGAGCAGCCGAGGTTTGGCTTTACCTGAGACCTGAAGAGCAGCGAAATCTGTGTTGATGGCCACTGGAAGTGACCTGTGGAGGGCATAATTGATCATTTTCTCTACAGCTTCGGCGAAAATAGATGAGCAGGCTGCCTCGACAAGTTGAACAACAAAACAAGGCTGGGCGGGACGACTTGGTGCGGAGTCAGGACGACCAGGGGCTGCATTGATATGATCCTAATAGGGTCAATCATTGATCGAAAATTACTTGCCAAAGAAGCTATCAAGGTTGGAAAGAAGAAGGGCAGAATTTGGTTAAGTATACACACAGTTTCAATGTACCAACTTTGGAGGTATGGTTCTCTTAATTGGCTCAATGAAAATTGGTGTTTGATAGTTTGTTTTGAACATAAACACTTTATCTATAAGTTGGTATGCTTGGTGGCTCAAGAGGAAGTCCAGAAGGTCATTTTCCAGACGTGTAGAAGTGCTATGAAGAATTCTGGAAACTGCCAAGATTTGACTAAGGCAGAAAACAGTGTTGAGATACAAACTTTGAAGGCCTATATCTGGAGTTTGGAGCATGATCTCAGTCTGATTCAAGTTGGAGGTAAAACAGGAAGTTTTATTCTACAAAGGCAAGGAATTGGTTGAATTCGAATCAACCTAGAAGACCATTTTTGAAGGGCTCAAAGATGCTATGAAGCCTGTTTTCCTAGGCAGACTTGCTTGCGTTATAAGTCAGTTTCTTGGCCAGCAAGTTACCTTGTTTTGAACGAATTATTTAGCCTTTTTCTGTTCTAATTAGTTTCCTTGTTCATGTAGGATTGTATTAGGTTTTTATTGTCTTTAAATAGCATTCAATTTCACGTTGTAAAGCACCAAAGTTTTAGTTGAATGAAAATTGCTCCTTTGTGAGAATTGTGTTCTTTGAGAGTTCTCAAGAATCAAACCCTTGAGTTAGTTTTGTGAGGATTCCATTGCTAATTCGAGAACCCTTGTGAAGCTTTTCTGTGAGGATTCCAGATTCGTTTTACAAGTTTCTTATCAATCAAGTAATCACCTTAGTTGTGGCGAAATTCTACCAATCCGTTTTATCTTTCGTTGAAGAGTTTCGAGCTGCGTATTCTGATCAAACAAAGCACCCCCCTGGTGTTTTATCAAGTGGTATCAGAGCTTCCGGTTCAAGTCAGTGGCAAGAAGAACTGAAGGCTGAGTTTCGTACTATGGATACCGAGGAGCTAGCACGTTCGATGATTTTTACGCGTTGTTTAATCAAAGAGAAAACGTGTTCAGTTCTTATAGATGGAGGCAGGGATAAGAACTTAATTTCCTCCAGGGTTGCAAGCAAGCTAGGACTGCAATTCCAGTTACTTCCGAAGCCCTTTATGTTCCAATCGCCGTACGAAAACTCATCAAGCCTCGTACTGTCTCAGTTAACTGTGAAATTCTCAATTGGTCAATACGAGGACCAAATTACGTGCGATGTGATTTACGATCTCCCCAGCAGCATCGTTCTTGGGCAACCATGGTTCAGAAAACGTCAAGTTCGTTTAGAAAGCCGACGGAGCAAGAAATTCCGAGTTCATAGACGAAACCAAGTATTCGTCCTGAATCCTTTGGCTCCAGAAGCAGCTGCTGAAGACTTGAAGGTTCTTCAAGGACTCCAGGAGGAGTACCAGTCATCATTGGTGGCAAAGGCGTCGTCGATGAGAAGTAAGTCCCTCCAGACTCTACTCAACCAAGAAGACCCCTGTTCGTCGACGGCAGAGCAGGGCGAAGAAGAAAAGGACTCGGTAGCGACGTGGGGGAAGCTTCGAGCGAACCCAATTCATCCTCAATGATTGTTGACATCCCAAGAGTGGATTTGACAGAATAAATCGACCTGATTCAAGGCGAGACGATGAGCTCAATCCAGGCTGTGCACCCCTGTTTTCCGACGAATATGCAGGGGAAGAGAGAGAGTGAATCGGGGGAACCAATCCCGACCAGTTTGATCGAAACCAACGACGTCGACACGTTCGTTGAGAGGCCAGGAACGTGTGATGAAGATCAATTCGGGTCTGCGCACGATGAATCGCAAACGCCCAATTCAGAACTTTCGTGTCAAAACGCGAAGAACAATGAGCAAGAGAAGGGTGAATCGGTTGGAGAGATTGGGATTGAATCGAAGCAATTGGCGACTGTGGACAAACTCAGAAGCTTTCAAGGAAGCTTAAGGATCGATCAATTGGACGTGGGGAAGCCGGGCTTGAAATTACCCAATTTTAATTTGGGGTCGCCGGATTCTGGAAATCCTTCGCCGGATTCTGGAAATTTTAAATTTCCCGACGGCGGGAAACACGGGCATGGGGATTGGCGACGATCCAGACACTTTAATGGCGCGAAACGAACTGGAATCGATTCTTGGAGGCTAGACCAACCTTCTGGAGTTGATGAATTGAAGTGAAAGGGCGTGAGGAAGAAAGCCCCAAATTTGGAGCCCTCGTCGGAAAATTCGAATTCGCCGGATTCTGGGATTTTATCGCCGGAATCAGGAAATTTGAAATCATGTGTTCTGGGTTCGTTTGATCGAACTGATTGCGTGGGGAAGGTTCATTGGAGCCCTACAAATCTACTGAAACTCAAATCGTGGACAACAGAAGCCAATTTACGAGCTAAAGAAGAATTTGACGTTCAAATTTTCTTGCCGCAAAGTGTGTTTGAGCAGCCCTCTTTCGATCCAATTTGGGATCAATTCTGTGATGATTTTGAGAAGAGGCCTGAACAAGCGTTGAGGACAAAGCCTTTTGAACAGGGGGAGCTTGATATGATCCTAATAGGGTCAATCATTGATCGAAAATTACTTGCCAAAGAAGCTATCAAGGTTGGAAAGAAGAAGGGCAGAATTTGGTTAAGTATACAGACAGTTTCAATGTACCAACTTTGGAGGTATGGTTCTCTTAATTGGCTCAATGAAAATTGGTGTTTGATAGTTTGTTTTGAACATAAACACTTTATCTATAAGTTGGTATGCTTGGTGGCTCAAGAGGAAGTCCAGAAGGTCATTTTCCAGACGTGTAAAAGTGCTATGAAGAATTCTGGAAACTGCCAAGATTTGACTAAGGCAGAAAACAGTGTTGAGATACCAACTTTGAAGGCCTATATCTGGAGTTTGGAGCATGATCTCAGTCTGATTCAAGTTGGAGGTGAAACAGGAAGTTTTATTCTACAAAGGCAAGGAATTGGTTGAATTCGAATCAACCTAGAAGACCATTTTTGAAGGGCTCAAAGATGCTATGAAGCCTGTTTTCCTAGGCAGACTTGCTTGCGTTATAAGTCAGTTTCTTGGCCAGCAAGTTACCTTGTTTTGAACGAATTATTTAGCCTTTTTCTGTTCTAATTAGTTTCCTTGTTCATGTAGGATTGTATTAGGTTTTTATTGTCTTTAAATAGCATTCAATTTCACGTTGTAAAGCATCGAAGTTTTAGTTGAATGAAAATAGCTCCTTTGTGAGAATTGTGTTCTTTGAGAGTTCTCAAGAATCAAACCCTTGAGTTAGTTTTGTGAGGATTCCATTGCTAATTCGAGAACCCTTGTGAAGCTTTTCTGTGAGGATTCCAGATTCGTTTTACAAGTTTCTTATCAATCAAGTAATCACCTTGGTTGTGGCGAAATTCTACCAATCCGTTTTATCTTTTGTTGAAGAGTTTCGAGCTGCGTATTCTGATCAAACAAAGCACCCCCCCCCCCCCCCCCCCCGGTGTCTTATCATGCATGATATTGTTGACGACGTTGAAGAGTGCGACACTCGCTGATGATATGCCCAGCGTGCTTACAGTAGGCACAAAAATTGCACTTTTTGCAATGTTTTTGGATGTGCCCTTTCTCATTGAAGAAGACATAGGCCACCTCAAATGCTGGAGCGCGACGCTGGAGTCGGAGACGGTTGACAACGTAAGCAGAATGGTCATCAATAGAGTGGCCTTCAGCTACGAAGACGACTTTGCTAGCTCCAGGCTGTATGTCAAGCTTCTCTTGCGTCTGAAGACGATTTTCCTCTTGGATCAGCCTTCCGATGCCCCATCAAATTTAAGGTCATTACGGTTAAGCAAGCTGGAGCGCACATACTCAAATTCAGGCCTAAGCTTCATCAAGAAGCGATGGAGGCGAGACTGGTTGCGTTCGGCACGGACCTCCTCAAACACGACAACATATCGAATTTTGGCAAATAGAAGATATTCCTCAGTCCTAATGTGGACAGAGGCATTGTAATAGGATGCAACATCCATTTCACCTTGTTTAAGTGCTGCTAACTCGTTCTCGATCTCAAATTGATGAGCGGTGTTAGACGTGATGTATGTGGCCGCCATGTGGGACCACACTCATATGCAATAGAGAATAATCGAAGCCCCAAGAGGAGGATCAACCAAGCCTAAAATCTAAGATTTGACTCGAGCATGTTCAACATCCATTTCTCCAAAGTCTACACAGAATAGGGGTTACATTCGGTTTCTTAGAGGTACCATCAAGGATCGAGAGGAGACCCTTTCCTTCAACAAAGATGCAGAACTGAAATTCCTACACCGCATAATTCTTTGGATCAAGACGAATACTGTGTCGATCAGAATCGCTGGTGGAAAGCTCTGCTACCATGTTAGAAATATAAAACCAAATTGAAATACGAAGAGATACAGATTTATGTGGTATCCCTGAAAGGTTCAAGACTAATCCACGCTGAGAGCTTGAAGACTCTCTGAGCTACTGTTTATGATTGTTTAGCTGTCCAGAATTATATAAGAGAAGTATATATATATACATTTAATCCATGCCTGCCTTTGCCACATATATATATATATATATATATATATATATATATATGGTTCAGACGAGCGTACGATGTACGCCTATGTTCACACCTATTAATTATTTTTAATTAATTACAAGTAAAATCAATAATTATAATTGCAACCACACTCATTCATTTATCTTTCAATACTATTTACTCCCATCCGTCAAACAATTAAACGAACAATATTTGCAATAAGCCCAACCCAATATCACAAAGCAATTAAAACAAAAACTAAACAACACAACCTTCCCTCTTCCATTTTTCAGCTCGGAACCTCTCCTACAGATTTAGATGGCAAGAAACAGCTTGAAGAGCAAACAAACCCACAAACTTAAAAACTAAAATTAATTCAACTGGCAGAGAAATTGGTGCGACGGCGGTAGTGCGAGGAGAAGCACGATCACTGTCTTCTTCGCTCAGGCAATGAAAGAAGATCTTGCGCGACGGTGACGAAGTCAAAATCGAAGACCGGGTAGCAACAGTCGTCGTCCGAAAGCGAATCCGTTAGGTCGTCGTAGCTCTCGCCGGCGCCGCCGACCTTTTCGACGGCGACGAGCCCTGTCTTCTCGTCGATCTTGAAGACGATGTAGCGGTGCACTCGTTGCCACATCCCGCTCGCTGCCATCCTTAAGGTCAACGCCATTGTTGATAGAGAAAGAGGTTTTCGAGAGACCTAGCCCCAGGGCTGAAATCCCAATCTCTTGTCGCCTGCTGCACGCTTGCTAATCCTCCGCTTGCTTGCTTGCTATTCTCTCGGCTTGGTTCGTCGGGGTTGACGACGAATCCTCCGACAAACTACAAGACGAAGAGAAATAAGTGTAGAACGAGAGCGGCGACGACGGCGAGTAATGTTGCCGGCCGCGGTGGTGGCGGCTCGAGCAACAACAACCCTCCTCCGGCGGCGCATCCTTAGCGGTGGCGACGAAAGAGAGGCCGACGAGCAAATCACCGAAGTGGCGACGATGTAGTCGTGGTTGCTCTTCTCGTTCGCTGTCAGGTAACAGCCCAACAGCTTCTCCAGAGATTCCCAATCGCGCAGCCCGTGGGCCTCCACCATCTCCGCCATCGATTCCCTGAAATCCTCCAACGGATCCCGAGAGTCCAGCGTCACCGCCATCGCCCGTGGGCCTCCACCTTCCTTGGTTGCGGTTGATGAATGATCTTGTCGGAGGATGGAGGAGCTGGTTTCGCCGGGGGAAGAAGAGGCGCCGGGGGATAATTATTCATTATTTGGATAACAGTTTGAGTTACTCTTTTAATAAATTGGATTGGAAGTTCTAAATAGTAATTCGGGTGTTTGAATCGTAATTGGAAGAATAAAAGTACTATGCTTTATATAATGGTTATTGATTTAAGTATAAAGTCGGATACAAAATTTGTGTGATTAAAAGGTACACAAAAAATTATTAGTGGGTGTGGTTGTAATTATATTTTACATCTAATTTAATTAAAAATTAAAATTAATTTATGAGTGTGAACACATGCGTATAGCGTACGTCAGATGTACGCTAGCCTTTGCCATCTACACATAATATAATACGCCGAAGGTAAAAACGAGAGCCCCATTTCAAATTTCCTGCAATGAGAGTGAAAGTAGGAAGGGCATTTTAGTCTTCACAATTACTTTTTTTTATTCATTAAAAAGACACGTACTGGGATTCGAACCATTACCATTTTAAAGAAAAGCTAAGATCACAACCAATCACACTAAGTACATTTGTTGTATCTTTCTAAATTAAAAACATATAATAGCAGGGAGAAAAAAACCCTTTCCCCATTTCAAATTCTCTGCTTGAGGAGCGTTTGTAGGAAAGGTAGAATAGGGAGTGTCAATTTTTTTCTATTTCCTCTGTGGAATGGGCCAACTTACAGTACACATGCGAATTTAAACGGGCCCAGGAGTGTCAATTTTTTTCTTTAAGCCCTTTTATTTCTCTGTTGTGATAAAATATATATGAAAAGGAGTTGAATGCATGGTATCTAATGAGCTAATCGCTAACCATAAAATAAAAGAGTTGAATGGGCCTGACCTACATGGGATTTGGCCATCAAGTGAAACAAATGAACATCATTGGTTTGTCATTCTAAAACAAGCTATTTTCTCTGGCATAATATATATTATGCTATTATTCTATATCTTATTGGCTAAAATATAATGTATTTTAGAGTTATTCCATGGTTCAACCTCGACCAACCCAATTAGTCTAATTTTTATCATTTCAAATATATATTTTATAATTATTTGATATCATAATGATCAAATTATAGTGTATTTTATAGGGAGTCGTTTGGTATTTGTTAGTAAAAAACTAAACATAAAAGATCTATTTAGTTATTTTAAACATTAAAACGATCCTAAATATTTTCAGTTCCTTTTGAATTTCTATGGTTTTATTCCCGAATAAGTGATGTGCAAATGGCGAATTGTAGTCGTCTCTTTTCTTTCACTATTTTTTATTTTCAAATAGAAAGTTTAAAAGTAAAAAATAATTAGAATTTGGCATGGGTCGGTCAAACAGGCAGAATTTCAAGTTTTGGCCCGTTTGTTTTATGCATTGCAAATTTATTAGCATGTTGATGGAAATGGCTTGGAAAAAAGACATATAAGTTGTACCTTTGCAGAAATGTCCTCAAATGTTTGAATGCATTGTGAATCAGTTTTCGTGACTTTTGTGATGGTGTATGTGCTTGACGATTGCTCGATGTTGTAACTGCTTAATTTGAGAGTAAATCTTTTGATTTTCCCTATGAGTTGTGATACCAGTTCTGGTGGTTGCAGCATGTTGTCGTTGTTGGCCTGTAAAAGTTGTTCAGTCGTGATGCTAAATACCTTTCTTTCTTTTTTAACAAATTGTGTAGTAGTGCTATGAAACAGACCACCCATGAAAGCGACGCTTATTATGGTCTGTTCTTACTTCCGGTGGTGAGAAATTGTGAATTGAGAATCATATTCGCCTACCGCACTGTGTCTGGCTGGTGGCTGCTTACTGTGCTCTCTAGAGTTATGAAACAGACTACCCATGAACGTTACCCTTAAGGGTCCATAACTTTGCGAAAAACCAAATTTAGGCAATCAAAGGTGGTGGATGTGTGATGATTTTTTATGGCTTAATTGTTTGTGAATTGGATATCTGATATTTGTATGATTAGAGGGGATGTTTGCTTAATAGAATAATATATTTTAATTCATGTTTATTTTTAACATGAACTTTAGTAACTCAGAACCTTCGAGACACATATCACCTACTGCATTGTATCATTTTCCCTGGGTGCTTGCTGTGTTGTCAAACTTCTTTGCTGTTGCTGCTGCTTTTATACTAACAGGGGAGTTAAGAACCCATGAATGTTTCCGTTTGACACAAACAGGAGGAATTGCTTCTAAATCGTGCACTAAAGATGATTGGAGGAAACATTTCTGTTGCAGTTGATATACTGGAGACCAGAACAAAAGCAATTTGTCACATCAAAACCAACCATATGAACTATTAGCATTGTTGCTTTACTCTTTTTTCGTGGTTGAGTCTCCTTCAAAAATTTTAGTTTGATTTTAGAAAATTTTGCTTCTGCAGTCCTGTCTTGCCACCAACGCGTTCAGTAGATGGAGATGGCAGAGGCGAAGGCTATTTTTGTGTTGTTGTTGCTGGTTTAGGGATCGGTTTGTGAAGAAGAGGGAGAAGAGAGGGGGAAAGGGAAATGCAGGAGAGGGGGGTAACTCTTTTCTCCGACAAAAATGGAGTGAAGAAAGGAATTATGATCAGTAAGAATATGGTTATCTTACATAATGGTCTCTATTCTGTTTGAAATGAGCTTGGGAGGCAGTGTTAAAGACGAGCTGCAACCAATTCATAGTGAGAAGAGAGCTATGAACTGTGATCATGTCTTATTTCAAGTTAGAAGGTAGTTTCAGTATAAGGATTATTTAATTTGACAAGTTGTTTCGTCCATGATTCTTGGTAGTTTCAGTGCCATTCTAGCCATTGTTTAGTCTGTAATTTTTTAGAATTGATGTGCGAGTAATGACTTTCACTTAGCTTCAACTATTATGTGTGTATTTATTGGCATGTGATAGAAATCTCTTTTCCTTTTCTTTGAATTCAGTTTCATACTCTAATTGTATCATTTGTACATAGGCAAATCATGCTCGAGATGACAACTCGCTAATATGGCTGGTGCAAGGAACGAAAGCCATCATTAGAATTCAGACCGACAACGGGGAGGAATGCCCAGGACTAATTTAATGATGATTGATGATGGTATAATAAAAACTGCAGTCTGCATCAGCACCAATTTCTAGGCCTAAGTAAAGTTATTCAACCCAGAACTCTGCTTAGCGCTAAAAATTTTCCTCGCCCAACCTTGATCCTGTTTGACCCACTTCTGAAGAGTCAAGATATATGACTAATCCTCTCCGTTCGTATTTTCTTATTGACTCTTTCTGACCCTTTAGGTTAGGACGGGTCAGGAAGAATCAGATTAGTGGGTTGGTCCTAATAAAGTGGAATCCCAATCCCTTCATTCTCACTTGCTTTCTCTCCCATTCCACAAGTGGGTAACATACAGTAGTCTTGCATGCGGAAGACTTGCAACTGGCAAACCCAGCTTTAGGTACCAAAGTTTATCCTTTTACTTCGTTCTTCCATTCCCATTTTGGTTTTAAGCTTTACCAAATAATTGGAGCTTTGTTGGGGTTTTTCGAACCTATTACAGAAACCAAAGATAACTCATGTATGCTACATTGTTCGTTATCTTGACCGATGCTCTTTACTGGTGAATGAGTCTTCTTTCTTTGTCGGTGCATCATACTTTAATATTTTATAACTGTTTTGTGAAGTAGAAATTGTAGTGGTATAACAACGACAAGATGGTAAGTGGTAACTGAGAAAAAAATACCAGCTGTGATTTGATCGGGCCGTGGAACGATGTGGAAGATTACTGTGATTTGGTTGTTCTCAAGTTATTCTTGCCAATGGGTTACTGAAAGTAGTTGGTCAAAGGTCGTGGCTTTATTTATTTATGGAGTTTCTGAAGGTTTTGTGAGGCAAATATACCTTCCTTTCTTAATGTAGATATATAGTAGGCAATTATGCGTTCCTTTCTTAATTAATGTACATATATAGTAGGCAATTATACGTAGTTGTTGGATGACCCATATATTGCTAGAACTTCCGATGGTTGAGTTGCAAACTCTTTTGGGCCATCCGGAAGAGGGATTATGATAATTAGGAATTTATATGTAGGATGTGTGGCAAATAGTTTGAGCCCCCTCCAATTTACTAATGACTGTTCCAAACCCAAAATTGCACAATAGCTCAATTGTTGGGCGTGAATTAAACAATTTTGTATCAGGATTACAGCTTTGGAAATGTTAATATAGTCAACTGATTCTCCTGAGTTTTTTGTTAGAGCTTATGAACTTACAGGTGATGCGGATTCAATGGTCTTCCGCTGTATGTTGGTAGGATATATGCAGTATGTTGCAGTGTGGAAGTACTTTTGTTTTATATATGTTGGTAGGATATATTATGCTTCCTTTATTTTAAAAATTGATGTGCTCTTTTCTGTATACACCAGCAGACTTGCCATTTTCCCAACCCATATGTTCATGCCCAA